GGCGTTGAAGATGTTATACCATCTAAGAACTTGAGAGAGTCAAAGCCAACACATCTGGGTCCATTAGAGCGGGAGTACTGGAAAGACAAAAATATGCCAGAAAGAATAAGAAAATTATTCTAAACTTTTTCGTTGGATGTAAATCAGACATGAATGAGAACAGCCATGATATCATTAATGTTTTCATTTATTTTATATATTAATGTTTTCATAAATACTGTAAATTTACGTCAAAAATAATTTTTAGGTGAAGTGGTGAAATTTCACCTCTTTTTTCACCCGGTTTTTCACCCTAGCTGCTTTGCGGCTCTGATTGCTTTAGCTTTCTCGTGAATTTTCATGAATTTTCATAAAAGATAAAAATAACGTTATTTTTATTTATTTTTATTTATTTTTTTATTTTGTATAAAAGATATGATTTCATCAATCGGCAACAACAATTCAAGCCGCGAACGGCGGGACTCTGTCCACAACTACAGCACCAAATTCATTAGTCATGAATCCTACGTCAATGTTGATAGAGATGAAAAGCTTTATTCCTTCTTCATATACTTTTGAAACAGAAATCCAGAAGATAAAGCAAGAACTTTTAACAAGTAATTTAGACTGTAGTGCGAAAGATGAAACAAATGAACAGTATCTTTATGAAATGCAGGACCTCATCGACCATTTGCCTAAATTGCCTGAAATCCAACAACAAAAGCTCACTATTCCTGAATTCGACGAAATTGAAGTCAAAGCAAGTGACTCAGTAGAAATTAAGAAATTCATACGTAAAGTAAATTATGAATTCCTTGGTTTTCATTGCAACCATAAAGTTATGGACAAAGATTGCGACTTGGTTTATAAAAATATTTCTGACCTTTACAAATCCGAAGAATTTAAGACATACAATAACTTTGTTTCGTTAGTTGCTGAATGTGTATGGGAAATAAGAGATAAAGATAGAAGAGGCAAAGTATGGAACGAACAAATAAGACCCGCTATGTTTGAGATGAAGAGAGCAATTGACGCTTTAGTTGTTTTAGCTGGTAATGTTTCAATGTATAACGCAAAAACGATGCCGCAATGTTCAAAATGTAAGGCAGCAATAAGAAAATATAACTACTCAGTCAAAGAGATAGAAAGAATGCGAAACGACTATGCAGACTTAAAGAAAGAAGCAGAAAAGCCAGAAGAAGATAAAATGGATATGTTGGCATTTCTTAATAAAAACTATCCAACAGCAGAAGATTTCCTTCTATCTGACGTCAAGAAGAAATATAAAGAGACTTTCGGCATTGTTAGAACTTTTGATATCCTCAGCGAAGAAATAGAAGCTACAAAACTGTTTAGGATTTCAAATATACATCGTACAATTCATGTAAAACGCTTGTGAAAAAAGAGGTGAAAAATTAGGTGAAAAAAGAGGTGAAATTTCACCACTTCACATAAATTATATTTTTACTTTAATTAAATGTTTTCCGGAAACGTCGATGAAAATCATATGGACAAATTATATGAAAAAATTAATAATGATTACCCCTCATTAACCAGGGAAATGACGGATTCTATAGTTCGTAAATTCGATGAAATACAGGATATGTGGTTCGACAGATTCGACATGAACGATAAGGAAAAGAGAAAGAACGATAACAATTTACTTACTAAAAGAATCCTAAAATCTAAAATAGGTGAAGCTTCAACATTTAACACAGTACATAACTTTTACACCGCTGTTTATATTTTCAATAATTTATTTAACGATGAACGAGAAAAAAAAAGTATGTTTAACGGAAGAAATGAATATGATTTTATCCTTTGTGCTGTTCGGGATGTTGACATGAAACTAAAGAAAATATTCTTATTACAAGATGACACGGTTGAAGATGAAGTCAATGAGTTTTTAAATCGTGATTTAAATGAAATTGGTGAAGTTATGACCGAATGTTATAAAAAGTTCAAGAGGTGAAAAATTAGGTGAAAAAAGAGGTGAAATTTCACCACTTCACTTAAATTATATTTTTACTGAAAAATGACCAAATTTCATGAATTTTCATAATAGATAAAAATAACGTTAATTTTATTTTTATTTATTTATTTATCTTGTATGTAAAGACAGTAATGACAACATTAGAGAACACAACAACTGCTATCGTTCATGAAGCCATTAATGAAGAATACGAATACATACAATATAACAAACAATTGAGACTCATTCGTTCTGTCAAAGATGATATGTACCAGGTGCAGAGTATAATGAATGCTCTTCGTTCTACAAAGCAAGCATATCATTGGTTTGAAAACCAACAGACAAAAGAACTTTTAGAAGAATTTCCTCATATGATTGCTTCCCTCGGAAAACCGAGAGAAGAGATTCCGTACGAAAATCGCAAGAATTTGGCTCCTGGTTTGAAAGGTTATTATATTCATAGACTTTTAGTAAACGCTGTAGCAATGTGGGCTTCACCTCGTTATGCTTGTTATATTTTCATGATGTTAGATGAACTATATAAAGCAGAACGTGGAGAGATGGAAAAGAAACTTCAAGCAAAAGATGAAGTCATTGAATCCAAAGACAAAAGCATACAGAAAAGAATACCACGTTCAGTACCAAAAGGAAAGGAAAAAAGCTATAAGTATATGATATATACTGAAGAGTTGGAGAAAGAAGAAGATAGAGATATGGTTATGTTGCATTTAGTGAGAAGAAACAACAAGAGCTTTTATGACCTCGCTAAAATATATAAATCTGACAGAAACTGGTTCTATCGTGAAAACTTACCGATTTCAATGACACCGAATGAAGATGTTAAACAGATAGTTCAAGACACACTTCCTCAAACACACTATGATATTAGAGGTTGCACAATACTTACATTCAAAGAAGACTTAACATTACTGAAGGAAAAAATAACAGAATATTTCGACAACTTCAAAGAGGAAGAATAAAAAATCTAAGCTATTTTATTTTTTTATAAAATTTATCTCATATGAAAGAACATGAATTTAGAATATTCAGAACTCTTAACAGAAGAAGAGAACGAACAACATGTAAAAGATTATGCAAAATTTTTGAAGACATACAAAGCATTTAAACAATATCTAAATGCTTCTAAAGATTATGCAAAATTTCTGAAGGTATATAAAGCTTATGAAAAAGCGTATGAAAAGTTTATACATTGGGGAATTGTTGTAAAATATCGATATGAAGACTAACCAAAAATATATTTTTGTTCAAATAACGTCAGGGTCAATTTCTTCAACCATTTCACTTCCTTCGTCAATGTCAATTGAAGCTTCTTCAACTTTTGGTAAGAACTTTTGTATGACATCTTTGTTCGTTATTGTCTTCAGAGATGAAGGATAATATTTCACAGATGTTTCACACTTCTTATATTCTTTCTGTTCGGAAAGATTTAAAGCAATACTGAAGAAGTCAATGTTGGAGTTCTTTATAACAGTATAATGAGTATCTTTTACATTCACAAAGAAACCCTTTTGTTTCAAAACTACTGCTAACTCTTGTGAAGTATAACGTTTGCGGTCAATGACAATAGCTAATGGTCTGACATACTGACCAAACTTAGATTCTTTCACAAACTTCTTGTTAAAGATAACATTAACGTTTGCAGCACCATTGAACTCATTCTTGATGGCAGTAGCGAGAGCATTGTATGAAAAGAACTTGCAATCTTGCATGTGTTTCATTAAAATAAAAATATTAAATTATTTTGAAAAATAACTTAAAAAATGTAATCTAATTTTTTAAAAATATTTTTTATTTCCTACTAAAGATGTAACGGAAGTTGTCTAAGTTAGAACACTCGGAAATAAAACAACTTCTTACAGAAGCTAACATAGATGTTGCAAAACATTACGCGACAAACAAAAAATCACTCGCCGACTTCATTAAAGACTACAATGGTGAAATAACTTATGATAGAATTCATGAGTTCATAAAGTCGCAACGCGGCGAGGACGAAGTCCATGCAAGAACTTTTCCTTTAAATGACGTTGCTATTGACTTATATCATAGACGTTCAGTACCACATGAAGTAAGAAGAGAAATGTTTTACATAACAAATGCAAACGTTGGTCATACTCGTAAAGCTCTTTCTCATGACGTTCGTCAAGAGATGTTTGAACTTACGAACTCAAACGTTGGTGAAACAAGAAGAGCTGTACCACATGAAGTAAGGCGTGAAATGTTTGACATAACAAATGCAAACGTTGGTGAAACAAGAAGAAGAGACGACACACTGAAACAACAGAGAAGAGAGATGTTTAAAAGTGCTATAGAACAAGTTCGCAAAGCTAATGATGTCATTCGTTCCATTGACGACAAACCAAAAGAAGGTGAGAGATGGTTAAAGAAAGATGAAGAGAATAGGAAGAGAAATGTGAAGTCAGGCAATAGACTCATTGACTTCAACATCGAAGCTTTAGATGAACCAAACAGAGAATATTTACACAAACATTTCGGTAAGGTTTTCATAAGACTCTTAGAGAAAATTAAAATAAACTCACAACAGAGATGGATGGTATGTTATAAACTTGGTGGAAAGTATGAATGTTCTACGTTAAACCTCAATAATATTGGAACATTACTACATCAGCTCTTGAAGGAGAATTTTATATCAGAGATAGAAGCAAATGCTGCAGGTATTGTTGAAATGCACTATGACTTCTTCTTGACAAACATAAAGAATCTTACCGAAATAAAGATGTATGATTTAACAGAATATGAAGGCTTAACGATGTCAGATGTAAAGAAAGGCAAACCAAAAAAGAGACCATATAGAGATGAAAGCACACTGACAAATGACCAGAAAGCCATTTTGGAAGCTCTTAAGCAAACAGGAAACCCAGCACTTATAGAAAGCTTTTGGAAAGATAATGGTGAAAAGAAGTTTTATAAGAAGAGAAGCGGTCAGTTCTGGAAGTATCTTTGCACGTTATCTATAAATCTTGAACGCTACCAAATCTTCAATGAACTGAACAAAAGAACTGCAGCACTTATGACAGAAGACAATTGTTTCGTTTATGCTTGCATTCAGGCTGGAGTAGATGAAGAAACTATTGACCACATGAGAGAAGTCATTCGTGTTAAAGACTTTCCCCAAAGTAAAGTACAAGAAATTTCCGATTCAACAGGTATAGCATTTAATGTTACCATTGGTTATTTCAATGACTCAAGACATAATGAAATAAAGAGATATATACCAAAAGAATGCGAAACTGTTAGAACTATTGACTTACTTCTTGTTGAAGACCACTACATGCTAAATGAAAGATTACCAATGACAACATATTTCATTCGAAACTATAAAGAAATTCTCAAAGCTTGTGGTGGAATGAACATTGAGAAACAGATGAAGATTTATACAAAGAGAGAAGATAAATATGTAGTTCGTTATGATAGAACAACACCGCTATGGGATGTTATGAAAACATTGTGGGAGTGCAAATATTTCGAACCTATTTCTTATGGAGAACTTTTCACATATACGACTGACTTATATAAACAGAACCTTGCACCATTTAAAGATTTGACATATGCTCCAAAGTATTGTGTACAACTGAAGAAGAAAGCAGAGTCAAAAGAAGTAAATAAAGCTAAATGTAAATTCATTCCTGAGCACGTTTTCTTTGCTGACTTTGAGTGTAGCACAGACGGCTTTCATAAAGCGTTTAACATATGTTATGACAGTGAAGATGGTTCAGTGAGTCAAAGCATTTGGGGTCAAAACTGTGCAACAGAATTTTTGGAACGACTTCCTGACAAGAGTTTAATATATTTCCATAACCTCAGCTATGACATAAACTTTATCTTAAGACACATGACAGAAGTGAAAGGAACTTCCATCATTAAAGGTTCACGAACAATGCAAATAACTGGCTTATATAAAGGACGGGCAATTATTATAAAAGACTCTTACAGTGTTATAAATAAGAAACTTAAACTATTTCCTGCTATGTTTAACTTACAAACAGGACCGAAAGAAGTATTTCCATACAACTACTACAGCAGTACTTTGTTAGCAAATGACAACAGAACTGGTGTCATTTCTGAAGCATGTAAGTTTGTCAAGGATGCAGATACATTCATGAAAAATAGATTCCATCAAAGGTTGCAGAATAGATGAGAACCACTTCGACTTAGAAAAATATAGCACGTTTTACTGCAAACAAGATGTAAGAATTTTAAGAGAAGGTTTTGTAAAGTTCCGCAATGACTTATTGAAAGAGTTTGATTTAAACGTTTATGACTACGTTAGTATTTGTTCTATTGCTAACAAATTATTTGAGAACAGAGTATACTTCCCGAATGGAAATCTTTATGACCTCTCAAATAAACCAAGAGAATTTATTTCGAGATGCATTCAAGGTGGAAGATGTATGTTGTCAGATAACATGAAACAAAAGAGCAAAAAGAAACTCATTGCTGACTTCGACGCTGTTTCATTATATCCATCAGCAATTGCAAGACTTTATACTTTAGAAGGAATTCCAAAAGTATTGAAGGATGAGATGTTAAGCACAGAGTATCTCATGAGACATTTATTCGATGACGACCAAAAGGAACCCATTGGTGAAAAGTTTATGTCAGGCTTCTTTGTTCTCATTAAGATAACAGAGATTGGTATACTCAGACACTTTCCTTTAATAGTTTGCGACCCTGAACTAAATCCAGAACTTAACGTTCCCAGAAGTTCAAACACTTGCTGTCTCATGTATGTTGACCATATAACATTACAGGACCTTATAAAATATCAAGGTGTCAAATGTGAAGTGTTGCAAGGATACTATTACGATGGAAACAGAGATATGAGAATAAGAGATGAAGTAAAGAAGTTGTTTGAGTTAAGGTTAAAGTATAAGAAAGAAGAAAACCCATTACAAGAAATTATAAAACTCATTTTGAACAGCATTTATGGCAAAACCATTCTATCTCCTATTGAGTCAAAAATAACCATAGTAGATGACAAAGATGCTATAAGATATGCCATCAGAAACTACAACCATATAGTGAAGTTCGAAGGTTTGGATGGTTCCGATAAGACTATATTCAAACTAACAAAAAGTATTTGCAGACACTTTAACTTCTGTCCACTTGGTGTTAATATCTTATCTATGTCGAAACGTACCATGAATGAAGTATTTTGCACGATTGAAGATATGGGATTGGACATACGGACAGTATGCATATTTTCAATGAAGACATCCCGCGTTTAGCTCAGGAATTTCAGAAGAGATATGGTAGAGAACTTATCGGTAAAACATTAGGTCAATTTCATAGCGACTTCGCAGAAATAACACCTGGAAAACAAAGTTTAGCATACAAGTCAATATTTTGTGGAAAGAAGACCTACATAGACTTACTCACTAACGATTTAAATGAAGTTGCATTTCACTGCAGAATGAAAGGCGTGAAGCAAGATGTTATTGCTTTAACCGCTAATGAAATGTTTCCTGAAGCTATACAATGCTATTACAATGAAGATAAAGGTTTAATGGTTCCGCAAGGAAAATTTGACAAAGACTCTGAGTTCAGTTTAATGAAACTTTACAAAGCACTTCATGACGGTCAAGAGATTGCATTTGACTTATGTAAGTCATGTCAACCTTGCTTTGAAGAGAAGTTTAACTTCTCAATAACGACTAAAACAAGCTTTATTCGTAAGTTGAAGTTCTGAGGTCATTTATTTTTGTCAGCAATGAGGTCATTCGTGATAAAAATAAGCCGCTAGCGGCAAGGGCGAAGCCCATGTGGTCATTTACAATACAGCTATTGTAGAGTTTAACAATTGTGCTTCAATGTATAAACAATCTTTCCCATCTGGAGGTAGCAAAACAGGTGCTTTATGGTCATGAGTGGAGTACATGTCTATCCAAAACTCACGATTGAAGCCAGTAAGCTTGTAATATTTAGGATTTGGCAGTGGTGAATTTCTTGTATGACCAATGAACTCATTTTCAACGCCTTTGGCTATATTAGAGTAAAGTATTGCTTGCTTTCTATCCCAAATACCTGGAAATCTAATTTCTGAAAAATCATTTTTCCTCGGAAGCATTGCATCATAATTGAATACACTTTTGAAATCATCACTTGGTTCAGAGATTTGAAATTTTATACGTAATGGATTTTCTTTCTTTTCAGCTAATTCATTGAATGGTGAGAATATTATGAATTGACAGTCATGTGTTCCATCTTCATTTTCCACGAACTCGTAATGAAAAGCTATTAATCTTTCTACAATTCCTTCTTCTTTCAGTTTTACAAGAAAATCACGTAAAGGTTTTAATTTTTCTAAATCCATGTTAAACTTCTTTTGAAAATTTTCGTAAAATGTAATTATACAGTCTTCTAACGTCGTACTATCATTGAAGTACCTGTACATGTGAATGTTTTGGGCACTTAAAGACTGTTCGTCATTTTCTATCTCGACTTGAAGTATAAATTCAACCTTTCTGAAAGCACGTGTTATATACATAGATGTTATGCCAATGTACTTCTCTTCATTTATGTTCACAATCCAGTCTGTTGGAAACTTAAACGTTACTCTGTTCCCCTTTATTTTGACGTCAGGGTTTTCACTACTGAACGCAACAGATAAAGGTATTTGTCTATACATTTAGTTCCGATAAAAATAAACCATTTACTCTTTCTTCACTTCAGCTTCTTTAGCTTTTTGTTCTTCCTTTGCTTTTGCTTCTTCTCTAGCTTTCTTCGCCAGCAAACGTGGGTTCTTCTGTCTTCCAGCAGCTAATGCAGCAAGTTGTTTTTCACTTAACTTTCTCTTTGGTTTCTCTGGCTTTTGTTCTGGTTTTTGTTCCTTCAGTTCGGATAAAATTTGCTCACGAATTTCTTTCTTCAATGCTTCAACATCTATGACCCCTTGGGTCTTGTCCGTATGACTTGTCTGAGTCATTTGACTGCAGATAAAAAACAAAATTGAAACTTTAACCAATGTAAAATGAGCTTGTCAAAATCAGAGCGAGAGTCTATTATATTAAATGACGCAAGAGGAATACAACATCCTTTCTATTACGTAAGTCAGAGTAAAGATGGTAAAATATATGTAAGAAAAAGAAAGGTTCCATTAGCGAATGCAGAGAGCGACAACATTAAGGTGCATGGCACCGATGGCGAAGCCCATATAAAACCTTCTGTTCAAACTGAGCCACCAAAAGAACAAGAAGAAAAGAAGCCAGATGTACTTTCAATAACGAACCAAGAGCTTATTGCAAAGTTCGTGAATTTCATTGAAAAGCAAACCGAGTCAAAGAACCCTGACCCACCAGTGAAAGAAGTTGAGACAAAAGAGAATGTACAGTTCATTGAAAATGTCAAGAAACAACTTCCACCACGAATACCAAGAAGAAGAGTGAGAATAATGAAGTAAATAGATATTTTTATCTGAAGTAAATACATGCAGAACGAACAGTTAAACGAATTTACTCCAGCAGAGCATATTCATCAGATTCGCTCGTATTTCGATATCATAGACAATGCAGTTCAAATTGGTGACACTAATAGAAAATATTCTGACGCAAAGATTCCATCACAACCTGGAACTGCTAAAGATAACACATGGGTAACATTCAATCTCTCACCTCCTGGTGAAAATATGTTGGACCTTTACAATACATTCATTACGTATAAAATGGAAGGTCAATTTATTGTAGATAAAGAAATTGGTTCAGGTTCCAATAAAACAAACCCACCAGAATTTTGGATTGGTTTCGATGACGCTTTCTATGCAGTTGCTGGATATCAAATCCTTGCAAATGGTCGTATCGTATATTCTCAAGACAACGCAAGAGAAGAAGCATATATAACTTCAAACTCACAAACTACCGAACAAATAAAGAAAGTAGATGTTTTTTCAAAGACTCGACATGAAGATGTATGGAGTCATTCGGGAACATGCAGAACAGGACAAATTGTTAGTGGTCCAATTACAGCAGGAAAATCATTTGATTTTAAGCTTCGTTTAAGAATTCCTGTTAGAAAGTTTTTACCATTAGAAGCTATAAGATTTATTCCTGCATTTGCTGGTAACATTCAGCTTAAAGTAAAGTTCAGTAGCGACGCATTACAATGCACATCTATATCTATAAATGATATCGTTGCTTTCAATCCAACTCTTAAAGTTGCATTTGCTTCAGATTCAAATCCACCGACAAATAAATTTGTTCCATGGAATGAACCATTCACTATGATAACGAAGGCAATAGAAGCTAGTGGAACAGTTACTATTACAACTGTAACCCAGCAACTATTTCGAACAAAGATGGATTTTAATGAATGTTTTATTCATCCAAAATCATTCTCTTTAGACCCTAACATTTATACAGAACTTGTAGAACATTATACAAACGAGGCTTTATGTTTTCCTGTTAAAGTTATGGATTGGATTCCTATGGACGGTTCATTCTCAAAGAATACAGATAGTTCAAGTGCAACATTTACAGCAGCTTATACGCCTATTAATGTTAAAAGTATTTGGCACTATTTAGAAAGAAAGACAACTATTATGTTAATTTTGAGAACCCTAAGTTTAAATATCTTCAGCTTTCCATGGGAGCTTATGGAAATATGCCTGCAGAACCTGAAAAATCATATGGACCTGTATTTTATGAAATGGTTGCGAACGCTTGCAATACAAACAATGATATGATAGGATTTAATGAAGATGTTATGAGGTCATTGGTGGATGATGGTAGTGTGGAACATAAATGGGATAGCTATGACAACACACATTTCTTATGTGGTTTTCCAACAGAAGTGGACTTTTGCTTCCAGCAAGGTCAAACATCTACTGCTCCAATAACATACAAATTGTCTGTTAAAGGACCTATTGAACTAGCAACTGAAAATGTACCAAAGCCACTTATTGGATTTATGAGGGATTGTTGCTTTGCAATACAAGTAAGACAGTCAGGCATACCAATAATAAGACTTGACGACTATAACTTAGCAACTGACGACAGTGAGGAATAAAGGATGAACGTTTATTTTTAAAGCTTATAAATGAGTTCTTCATCAAGCTCTCGTGAACCTTCACCATCTATGAAACAAACTTTACCAAACGATTATGGAGCACCTATTGAATATTTCTTACGAGCTGCACAATGGCAAAGAGCAGTATCACCAAGGTTAGGTGTTCCACCAGCTCCTGTCAAAAATAGCATTTGGTCAAGTCCTTATATAAGATATGGTCTCCCACTAGGTTTGCTAGCTACAGCAGGAGCAGTAATGATGTTGAAAAGAAATAAAGCAAATGTTGTAAATAATACTGAAGTAGCTGAAGTTAAACAAACTCCAACACCTTCGCCAAAACCAACGCCTTCACAAACAACACCTTCAATGACTCCTGAACCTATGGAATTACAAACTCCTGTTCAAAAGTCAACTCCAAAACCGACTCCAACATTTAAACCAGAACCTACACCACAAATAAATCGTAAAACTCCTGCGTTTCCTTACTGAAAAAAATAACGTTATTTTTATTTAATATTAAAATTTTTATTTTATTGAAATGACAAATAAAGTCACTGAAGCAATGAAACAAAAGTTCTTGGTAGAATACATTAAATCAGGAACTATTCCAGAAGGTTTTTACATTCATACTATGAAGAATGGTAGAGTTCAGTTTAGAAAGATAAAGCAACCATTAGATAAAGAAGGAATTTTGAGAAAGATTAAATTACATGAAGACAACATTGCTGAACTTAAGAAGAAGTTAGAAGAGTTGGAGAAAGGAAGAGAGTTATAAAGCAATGAATTCAAGTGGGTGAAAAACCGGGTGAAAAAAGAGGTGAGATTTCACCACTTCACCTTAATTTATTTTTTCACCTCTGACAACGTTTATTTTTATTTTATTTTTATGTAAATGACGGAAACTATTGAGGGTGAAAAACCGGGTGAAAAAAGAGGTGAGATTTCACCACTTCACCTTAATTTATTTTTTCACCTCTGACAACGTTTATTTTTATTTTATTTTTATGTAAATGACGAAAACTATTGAGGGTGAAAAACCGGGTGAAAAAAGAGGTGAGATTTCACCACTTCACCTTAATTTATTTTGTGCTATGTTTTCATACGCGTGAAGGTAGTGATATCGTTTATTTTTTATTTTATTTTATTAAAATTATTTTTATTTTATTTTTATGTAAATGACGAAAACTATTGAGATAACAAACTACAACGGTCATGAGTTCAAGAATTTGTTCTTCGTTCCTCGTGAAAATACATTCTATCAGATACGAGGGAGAAAGGGTAAAGTTAGTTTGAGCGTTTATGACTACAAGCATAATGGAAAGTTTATACAAGCAGTAGATACAAACGGTAAACGTGTTTCATTAGCTTTGTCAAAACTTACATACATTCATTTTGACAGTGACTTTGACTCTGACGATTGGAGCGACAGCAGCGATACTGAAGAATATGAACTATTGTGTGAAGCACAGCAATGGGAGGAGTTGCAATACTTTTGTAAGTGAGAACGTTTATTTTTACAGTAGTGAAGTCGTTTGTGAAAACGTTAGTGAGGTGAAGTGGTTGGCGGCTTTGTACATATTTAAGGTTAAGTTGGTGTTGTCGTTTGTGTTGTAAAATATACGTTAACGGTTTTGTAAAGTGTCAAATTCACATATAATGGGTAAGGAGGCGCGCAGTGCCTCCGTACACTTGATAGGTATACTAACTGTTATAGATATGGAGGTGAAAGTGAATTGGTAGATTTGGCATTCTTAATACATAGCAAATCACCAGCAGCATATGATGTTCTCTTGGAATTTTGTTTACCTTTTCCTACGCCTGTAACATTGTACAATAGGTTTCATGAAGACATAATGAATATGAAACAGTTTGTTAAACATGCTGAGCTCATTCCGCGAATGTTAGAAAGCATGAACTATCACGTAGAAAATACACCTGAATATGAATGGGCAATAGCAATAGATGCAGTTGCACTCTCTACCTGGTCCTCTAAAGACCAAAAAGGTCCTGTTGATGAAAATGGAGAAGAAATCAAATACTTATTCATATTTCTTGGTATGCCCCTAAATTTTGATGCGCCAAATGTTATATTACATGTTATAGAACATGCCAATGGGTTTGCAAGTGGAATTATCCACGAAATTGATGCAGCAATCGAAGAAATACGAAAGCACTTAAGAGTTAGAGTCATCATTACTGATGGAGATCCCGGATATGATAAGCATCAAGATGAATTTATTAATGAAATTTTGCAAGGTAATGATCCCGAAGAAATATTTAAAAGAGCTACTGCTATCTTAAAGAAAGGAGATCAAGTTGTATGGATTAATGATCTCATACATATGTCAAAACTTGAACGTACCAGATTACTCGATGCAACACTTAAGCTTTTAGTTCATCCATCTGATCTGAATACAATTGTTGATGTTAACAAGATCAGAGATGCAATCGAATTAGGTGATGCTCTTAATGATACTTCACCTCTGGGAAGGATAAAAGATAAATATCCGATCACAATATTTTCAATTAGAGCTGTAAAGGCGCTTCTAGAAAAAAACTATTATAATGAAGCATTATTCATAGCTCCACTTGCATTCTGGTATGAAAGCATACGAAATGAGGCATTTAATGCTGACACAAGATGTCAAATGATGTGGTTTGCATATCTGCTCTTGGTACATCATTGCATTCAAATGAGAGACCGTCACATTAAGACAAATCTTGGTGTTGTCAAAATAGACGGAAACATTTATCCGGTCTATTATATGGGAACTTGGGAAGTTGTAAAGCATCTTACAGCAACAATCATTTGTTTCCAATATTTTTTCAGTATTAATTCAACATTTTTCAATTTTTCTCATTTGACAACCATGACGGAAGAACATTTGAATGGTTTACTTCGCGTCATGGCTCATTTTAAGTATGATTTGTCAACAACCGAAACATCTATTGCAGAATGTAATTTAACACTCAAAATTCATAAAAAATACGATATTGACTGGAAAACCCATTCACGTGACTATCAAGCTGGTATTACATTTGAAGACATTTACACAATGCGTCAAGATTCACGTCAATATGAAATGTGCAAAGAATATGCATATGCCTTGTTATCCAAATGTGGATTTAGATATAATAGTAATTCCAGCGTTGATGTATTGCTTAGTTGGGTGAATGAAATTAATCAATTTCACTCAAAAATTTTAATGTCAACACATATATCAAATCCAATTTCAGGTTATAGTATTTTTTCACGTTTATCTGTCAAAAAAGATGTTTTTGACAACCCAACCAAAAAAAATCACGCAAGAAAGGATTAAACGATTTAGATCCTCATAATGACAAATCTGATCCTCTTGAAAATGATCCATTATATGAAGAAAGCCATATTGCTCAATTATTCCCAGAAAATGTCATTTTACCATCAAATTTTGCCAAGAAGGCAAACAAATTCAGCGATTTTGAAACATACATTCATAATACATTAAGTAGATTTCATAACGGGATCACATATGAGAATCTAGAGTTTGCTATTCTAAATGCGAAACGTCATCCAAAACACATTGTTGATCTCATAAATAAAGGCAATTTTTCACAAATCTTAAGGAGTACACTTCGCACAATGACAATTGAAAACAAAGTGAATTATAGTCATGTAACCACACTCTACTTCGCTGCATAGCTCTCAAAATAGAGCTCCTTTATTATAACTATCATAAATTTCAAATCTCAGATTGAAATATTCGTTAAATGATAGTTCTTTTGTATATTTGTATACTATTTTGTTTGTATTAAACTTGTTTGTTATTTTTAGTCACAAATTATATTTTTTAAATTTAATTAAAGTAAAAATTCCTTTAATGGTAATGTTCGAACATTGATTACAAGATAATTAAAATATATGACCTCATTATAAATGAATTTTAACTCTAGATAATTGAGAAAGCTACAAATTGTTTCTAAATCTTGAAATTATTCGATGTCAATCTAATTTTTCTTGTTATAGCCTACTTCTATGGTGTACAGGTTGTCATAATTACTATTTTAAAGTGTAAAACATGCTTATATCAATCAGGACGTTAAAATGGAAAAGTACATACCAAGCAAATGTTTGGATTTATATGCGACAGCCTTTTTAATGGATGTGACAAAGCGTTTCAATATAGATTTTGATTAAAGCATAACTGCAAATTATAATTTGACTTTATATGTACCAATAATAATGGCAATTATGAGTTTTTTTATATAAATTATATCACACCGCTTCTAGTAATTTTTAGCTTAAGCATATCATCGGCTAATTTTCAAAAAAAAAAGAATTTCAAATTTTAATCCAAATTCTTTTCTTAAAATTCACAATCAAATTACAGCTTATCTTTAATAGTCTTATTCATTCTATGCTTTTTTTTCGGCTCCATAAAAGTCATAAATTTTTCCATCATAAATTTGTTAGAAATTGGGTTACCATTGCCAAACATTTGGATAGAAAAAGCCCAATAAATTATACCCAAAGCATCCAAACATGAAGATATCATATAAGAAATATAGTTTAATTCAGTAATTCCCTAAAATCTAAAATGTTTAAGAACGTTTGTTCAATATCTTACAATCTAATTCACAGATTTAGCATATGTACTACGTATCAAATATACAATGTGATCTCTCAATAAGCTTAGAAGGTTAATTATTAAAATTAAATAAAATTCTACAATTAGCGAAAAATAATACGGCAGATAATATGCTTATAGGTAAAGAAATTCAAAGAGCATTCCTTAAATTTTTTCGAAATTTATCAAAACTCGAAGGTAAATCATCGAGTGATATGCGAAAAAAACTTTTTTATTCTATTAATGATAATAATTATATTAGCCATATTAAAACTTTTCATTTTTTAAAACTCATAGAAATACGTTTGATATTCTTCATTAAGAACATATAAAAACGAGTATAATTATCATAATCTGTTAATTTACAATATAAATGCTTTTCTGCTTGTAGTAAATATCAAATAAGAAAATAATAACATTATAAATTTTTCAAATAAGAATATATTATCTAGCATCTAAGCATGAAGATATTTAGAATTTGGATATCTAAATTCTGCTTAGATTACTTTCAAAATATAAGTCAATAATCTTTGATTTTAAAAGGTAACTAAACTCCTTTCGCCGATCCGATTTGCTCCATATTTAAAATATAGCTTGCATATGTAGAAGAAAAGCTAATTTTGAAGTACGCCCGAAATCCACCAACAGGATTTCGAGCTACTAAAAAGGTACTTTTAAATGTGATTTTTTTTATAAAAAATTAAATTTATTTTAAGATCAGACTAAAAACTAATTTTATGGAAAATCTATATCGACAAATTTATTACTTATTGGGTATATAGATTTTTTGATTATGGCGATTATGTCTGATATGCTTCCAATAAGCCAAAACACATTTCATACTGATTTCTATAAAAGGTATCTTTATTATAGAAGTGTAAGCTATATCTGTTTGTTTTTTTATTATAACAAATTCAAAATTCTCTTATAAGGACTAGATGAAATCTGTATTATTAAATCATTAGCTAAATGAAGGTTCAAATAGAAAGTAAATATCAATTTATATGATACTGAAACCAAATAGTTCTTTTAATAAAAGATAACACGCTGAAAATTATTGAGTATTTGCAAATCTCAAAAATCTATTGGTGAATTTGGCTCAACTTTTAAAATTATAACATCCATATCAAATCATAAAAGCAGACAAAAATTAAAGCCAAACCTATCGGCCAATTTTTTTTGATGTTTTGATTTTTGAGGTATACTTTTAAAAGTGGATTTAAAGCACTGATGAAAAAACATTAACTTCTGTCGTTATGATTATTGATTTAGACAATAATGATTTTAATCTTTGATTATCAAAACACTAAAGTTATCTTTTTAACATTTGCTTGGTAGCATTAACTCAAGTCTAAAGTACTATTTTATGTGGCACTCTTAGAATTTTTGTATTCATTGTACACGCTGAAATAGTACCATTAAAGTTATGGCGGACTTTCAAAAAATAGTTTGGTCACCTTTTGATTTTATTAAACGCTAATATTGGATACAGTATGGGGTTTTTTGGTGACAAATTTTATGTTGGTGAAAAAAACCGTATTCTCACAATTTTGAATGAAAGACTCCCCCTACGTTTTAATGATTAATTCTAAAATGAGATATATTTCATGTTAAAAATGAAGTAACCAGGTTAACAACTTGAATCATTACAATAACTACTTTCTTCTAAACGAGAAATTTGAAAAATAAAAAAAAGAATATGTTTTAATTGCATTGTCTCATAAATCAATAAGATGTGATTGAAATGTATCAAGATTGCAAAATTACACTGTCGTTTTCTTGATGATTTAAATTTAATTTGTGAAAAAAATAAGAATATAGAAGGTATGATTGTGAATATAACGGAAATAGAGCATATTAAGACATAACACAAATATATTGACTTTCATAAGTAATTCGTTCATAATGAAAATAGTTTGAAGCATATTTGGAATACAAATATATATTTAAATTTTGATTAAATAATTGAAATGTATAGTAGTATAACCGCTAAAATGGGCTTATTTTTGGTGTCTGCTCAAGTTCGAATGGCGATCAACTTTTTTTTGATTATTGTTATTTTTTCCTATAGAATAACGAGAATTTCACAATCGTATTACTCTCTGCTTATTAAAGTAATAAAATATACATTTTTAAAGATATTCAAGTTTTTAACAATAAATTGTCTATAATATACATCTGTACAATTATTATATAAATTTCATTATATGTGTTTAGTTCTTAGTTGATTTTTTTTGGAAATATAAAATATTATTCCGAATAAAAAGTTTGTTTAAAAGCACACAGAACATAGAGTCATTACTTCATCATTAGAACTAATAGAAAACGTGAGTAGATTGTCTTCAATATGCTTGTAGAGCTTCAATTGTTTTTGGTAACAAATTCAACATTTTTAGACAAAAGTTTTGTATTTAACTACATATTTATCTATATAGTATTTTTACAGTTTCAAAAACAAATGTTTGATAGAATTCAAAAAATTCGATATTTGAACTTAAATTTCTATAATTAATTTTCAAATATATAAGCATTAGATTCTATGTATACTCTATTTTTACCAAATACATACTCCAAAAGATAATTTTTCCCTGCGAATATATAAATTCAAAGGTTTTTTTACGTATTTGTGTTGAAAAACATTTTGATTTTCACTGCAAAAGATATAATCTTTCATTATTCATAACTTGTAAATTTTATGAAAATATTAAAAATTACATGGGCTAAAATGATATGATTAATTAAATAAAAGTAATACGTTTATATAGATAAACAAACAAAATAAAGCAATTTCTAATGGATAATGCAATCAGAAACGCATTGAAAGTATTCGATTGATTAGTTTTTTTGAAATATAACATTAAATACTGCAAATCCTTCTTGATCAGCCGTATTCAAAAGATCTTCTATTTTTGCAAATGTGAAATGATTGCTTGAATCATTAATATAAAGGTATCTGTTTTGATCTCTTCGATTTGCGACTATTGCAATTGAAAAAATGTCGGGTTCTTGTTTTCTGAAAATAATTGCAAATGGCAAATATTTTTTCGAAGATAAGTATTTAATTCTATTAATCATCTCTAGATTAAACTCATCGATCCATCGTACAATAAGATACTTCGATTTTATTGTTGGCATCTTCAAAAATTCGTCAGAACCTTGTAGAATTAACTGAGCTTCAATTTGAAGGGAAACATCTTTGTCTTGAGGATCAAAGCATGTAAATTCAGTTAGAAGTGATTTCAACGCGTTATTCTTAATTGAATTATTTTTCGCTGCGTTGTATAATATAAAATATAAAAATTCGGATGGATATTTGCAACTTGATGGAAAATATTTCAAAAATTCAATTGTGCTTACATTGATAGGAACTCTATTTGACACTTTTAGCAGATTGGCAAATTCTTTGAAGAATTTGTCAAAAGCATATAGCGATTTCTTTTCAAAGCAATTGGATAAATAAGGACAATATCTGCATAAATATATAATTGTATTCAATGCAGATGTTTGCTCAGAATAGATATAACATGGATGAAAAGTTCCATTGCTTTGACTTTCAGAATGTATATTACTATTAGGTACTGTAACAGGCGGTTGTGATGATGTGTTTGCATTTGATTGTGTACTCATTGAAATTTGTTCAGATTCATTTTGAATCTGGGAAGAAATTAATTCAAAGTAACGAGATACATTATAATTAAATACAACCATTTTATCATCACATTGAGAAAAATCATCGAAATCTAATTTATCAATAAATGCTTGGTCAGTTAAAAGAGTAGAAGTAATTCTAATTCTGTTAGGAAAATTAATTCTCATCTCCGTTTCAAAGTCAATATCGTTCTTTGTGATTCCATCTCTAGTCATTAACTGTTTTAAATTAAATGGGCACATTCCTGTTACGCTAAAAGCGATGTGTAGAAATTTCTGATTGAACGACTGTTTATAAGCATCAATTGCTGCCATATAAATCACTTGTTCTGCAAATTCTTCTCTTTTATTCAAATCTTTGGGAGCAAAATTTTTTGAGTAATCTTTATATAATTGTCGAACTCGGCACTTGAAGCTGTTTGCAAGAACAACGTCAAATGGCTGCATGACGTGCGTACAGTGCAGGGGGAAAGTAATAACATGTATGTTATTGTCCTTTAATAATTGTAGAGCAATTTTATTTCTCCTTGATATATGCGAATCAAGGAGAATATAATGAGATTCACGTTCATTTGGAGCTCCAAATGTTTCATTAATATAGTACGCGAAATGCTTACTCCATTCATAGAATAATTTTTTGTCATGTATCCTGATGTGTTTTGAGCTAGGAGATCATGTCCCCTAACCACATCTTCAATATAATCCGGAATTGAATCGCCGTTCTGAGTTTGTCGAATAAACATTGGCATAAAAGACTTTCCTGCAGCATTGCATGTGCAAACAACGGAAACATGCGATTTAAGAACTGTTTCTTTATTAGCTTCTAACTCTTCCAGCTGCTGCTTATGATCTCCTCTTGATATTACATGTAAGTCATTTTCGATAGTTTTGGCCAAATGAGTTTCGTCCATATTCCATAAAGTTTGTGGATCGATCCCCTGTAATATATTACAAAATTGTAACATCCATCGCACAAGCGTTAATCTTGTACAATAATGTTTTCGATTTTCTTCAATAGATTGTGCAGTACTCAACTTAAAATTATATTTTGGCAATACTGCCTGGATAAACTTTGATATTGAATCATCTGATTGGCGATCTGCTAATAGATCATTGATTCCTCCTTGACTTTTTCTTCTTTTTTTAGCAATTGGAGGAATAGGAAAAGCTGCATAAATTTATTTCGCTCAATTACTAATTGACGTGCGTGCTTTGTTGCATCTGCAAGAGTCAATCCTTCATCATTTTCAACAGAATCCTCGATGAATTTCATAAGAATTACTTCATCAACTTCTGAAAATGTTGCGTCATTTGTGTTTTCGTTACCAAATTCAAATCTATCACCATTGAGAGAAGCTCTCACGCATCTTCTTACCTTATTATCGTTTGCAGGGGTGATTCCATTGTAAAAAAATTCATTAATGAAATCAGCAATTGTCTGACATGCAACTCCAGAAAAGAAAAGACCAGTTGCAAAAACTTGCTCATCTGTTGCAAAATAAAACATTACAACAAAATAAGTCATGACGATTTGAAACAAACTGAAATTATGGTTGCGAATTGCAATGTTCTTATTGTATAATATATTTCTGAAATGATATAAGTTATTGATCGTTTGAAATATTTTATATTTCTTATAATTATCTCTAAAATTGACCTTATTAAGCCACCAGATATCAGAATAATCATTTGTAGATGTATATTCAACCATTTTTAATTCAACAAGTTTTAAAAAGTTCTCAGGAACTGAAAATTCTTTTGGAATATAATTTAATTGTTCAAAGTTTTGGAGTTTATATATTAGTTCTAAAAATTTTTGATTATTCTGTATTACGGATGCGTTCTCTTCATTAGATTTTGGATCAATTAAATTATTATCATTTTGATTTTCAGTTGAACTGGCATTTTGATTTTCACTTTGAATATTTTCGTTAGAACTAGTATTTTGGTATTCATTATGATTACTTTCACTAATAGTATTATTTTCATTTATACTCTGAATATTCTGGGTCAAACTTTGATCGGGGTTGTCTTCATGATTTTCTTCTGTTGCAATAGCGACTGGTTGCTTAAATTTGTACTGTATAGGTAAAACAGAATTTGATGCTGTTTTCACGAAATATGTACGGGAATTGAATTCTCGTAGGCATTCTGATGAAAGAGTAAGATGCTCACTTGTTATATCTTCAATAGAATACTCCACGCTAGCATAATCTTCATAATGATTACGAATATCTTCACGATTTGTATGCCCTCCTGTTTCAGTTTTTTGAGTAAAATGTTGTTCAGCTAGGAAGTTTTTAAATTCTGTAAGTGCTTCTGTTTTTTTGGTTTCTTGTTCGATTTTATATTCAGCTAAATTTTTTCTTGGGATTCGTGGGTGCGAAATATCGCTAAAATTTGGTTCAATCAATTGCATATTTATCTGCCGGAAGAAAGAAGTATCTATTTGGAAAAGTTGAGCCTGCTGCTCCATTAATTTATTTCCAAAGAAAGGACAGAAAATTGAAAGAAAGGACATAAATTTGATAAAGACGGAAGTTTGAATAAAGGACAGAATATTTGAATATAAATATTTAGATCTATGTACATTACTATTTAGATATCACAATAATAATTAAAAAACATAAAATTGGGATTAAAATTGTTAAATTCTATCAAACATTTGTTTTTGAAACTGTAAAAATACTATATACAAAACTTTTGTCTAAAAATGTTGAATTTGTTACCAAAAACAATTGAAGCTCTACAAGCATATTGAAGACAATCTACTCACGTTTTCTATTAGTTCTAATGATGAAGTAATGACTCTATGTTCTGTGTGCTTTTAAACAAACTTTTTATTCGGAATAATATTTTATATTTCCAAAAAAATCAACTAAGAACTAAACACATATAATGAAATTTATATAATAATTGTACAGATGTATATTATAGACAATTTATTGTTAAAAACTTGAATATCTTTAAAAATGTATATTTTATTACCTTTTTATTAAGAGTATCATAAAAACCAAAAATAACCTGACTATTGTTTAGGTTTTATAATTTGAAACAGATAATAAATTTCAAATTTTTCGATTTCGATATTAACTTGTGAAGAATCTTCGCATAAAACAGTTTGAAACAAAGCCAGTCGATCCCAATACTCCATGAACTGCTCTGTATTTAAAATTTCTTCGAAATCATCGTATAATTTTTCTTTTGCTTCTTTTATTTGATCAAATATTCCAATATATTTAAAATGGAAATATATTAAAGCTATGTTTTGTTTTGACTCGAATGTCAAATCATCATACTCATTATATTTTTCTTTCCAATATGAAATTTCTGAATTCATATCATAAATACCTCTTTTAGTCAAGATTGAATAAATAATGCATTTCATAACGAAATATTCCATGTATGTATTGTCAGATATGTTACAATTTTCATAATATAGATCACGAAAGTTTAATAACCAATCTTTGAGTACATCTAACTGCAACAAATCTCTGAAACATACTTGGAAGAAATAAATAATAATTTTCCCTAGTAAGTAGTTCTTCGTAAGAAAAATATTGAAAAAAGATGATCAATTAAATGCGAAAATTCATCAAACAATGTTAAACTTTTGAAAATTTCAAAGTTATTGTAAATAACACGATAAAATGCCATGAGAAATTGATTGTTTGTAAATAAAATGCAATTATCTGTTAAAAATAGTGGAATAAGATCTCTTTCAAGATAAAAATCATGTAACTGAATACAAAATATAAGATATTCGGCTTATTTATCGATATCTGTGTTTTCTTTTAATTCACAATAAAAAGTGTTTTGAATTTCTGGATCAAGTTGCATGAATATATCATAGGCTTTATCATATAAGCCCTCTTGTAGACTTTGGACTATTTCTTGACGACAATTTGATAAATCTAGTTGAATTTCACGATTATCACGGTAATCTATCAAACTTATCTCGCAATGTTCTGTTTCATCAGGATATGTTTGTGGTCCATTTACTTCTTTGTAATCATTGAGACCGTCCATTGGTTAAAAAAAATAAAAAAAATAAACATTGCTGAATCAAACTTAGGTCTCCCAAAAAATACTTTAATATTAGCGGTTATACCATAACTCAATTTTATGTTAAGTTCTTAATATAGCTATTTAATCTGTTCCTACCCAAAACGGTTTTTGTCACCAAAATCTTTTTTACACGAAATCCCTATGAACTATTGGATAGTATATTTTCACAATTTAATTGTAGTTAGATAAATGATAATTCATGTAACTCATTGATTTCGATCAAAAGTTATATTCACCTTGTTAAAAAAATTAAAAAAACTGGGTGCTTACTGATTTGAACATATTGCCTTTGAACCCCACGACGAGAAAGGGACAGACTAGCCCATTGTCACTTTTTAATTTAGCAAATGAACGCTTATGGAGTGGAGTTTTTGGGTAAATCTGATTTGCTTATAAATGAAATAAAATCAAAAGAAACCATATTGGCATTATATTATGCAAAAATAAATGATCTTACTTAGTACTTTTAAAGTTAATTTCAGAAAAAAATTGACACAATGGTATCCGGCACATACAAGTGGTGTACAACCAAAATATAAGTTGGTTTAAACATATATTGCTATATCTCATGATCTTACTTAGTACTTTTAAAGTTAATTTCAGAAAAAATTTGACACAATGGTATCCGGCACATACAAGTGGTGTACAACCAAAATATAAGTTGGTTTAAACATATATTGCTATATCTCATGATCTTACTTAGTACTTTTAAAGTTAATTTCAGAAAAAATTTGACACAATGGTATCGGCACATACAAGTGGTGTACAACCAAAATATAAGTTGGTTTAAACATATATTGCTATATCTCATGATCTTACTTAGTACTTTTAAAGTTAATTTCAGAAAAAATTTGACACAATGGTATCCGGCACATACAAGTGGTGTACAACCAAAATATAAGTTGGTTTAAACATATATTGCTATATCTCATGATCTTACTTAGTACTTTTAAAGTTAATTTCAGAAAAAATTTGACACAATGGTATCCGGCACATACAAGTGGTGTACAACCAAAATATAAGTTGGTTTAAAACATATATTGCTATATCTCATGATCTTACTTAGTACTTTTAAAGTTAATTTCAGAAAAAATTTGACACAATGGTATCCGGCACATACAAGTGGTGTACAACCAAAATATAAGTTGGTTTAAACATATATTGCTATATCTCATGATCTTACTTAGTACTTTTAAAGTTAATTTCAGAAAAAATTTGACACAATGGTATCCGGCACATACAAGTGGTGTACAACCAAATCTTCGACTCGATGAACTTGTCATCGAGTTATATTCCAGTGTTGTTCCTTCATTCCTGATTAAGTTGCAAATTAAAGGTCTGGATTCAGAGAGAAGTGTTAAAGTTATCAAAAAAGTCACAAGAGATTTCGAAGAAATGACACAATTTAAAAAAGTCGAATGCATCAGTATGCTTGAAGCTGTTCAGAAAGGTCTGAAAAATGATACACTTGATCCCAACATTGTTTACTCAACATTAAAAATATTATTGCAAAGAAAACATTTGATTTAATAAACATTTCATTTATTATAATTAATTTTTTATTACAGTATAGTAAAAAATGCTATAAATAAATTATTATATTTTATTAAAATGTGACTTTTAATAGTAAGTGAATAAAATAAATCAGGAATTGGGAAAGAAATAAGGTTAATTAAAAATAATGAAAATTACAAGTTTAAGGTTAATGAAAAAGTGACAATGGGCGAGTTTGTCCCCCACTCCCCCACGACATAACCAGTAGGCTAAACGTACAGTGATTTTTTTTATAAATTCTAGTATAAAATACTTCCCGCAGGGCATTTGTTTAATTATTTTACATTCTGATGACATAATTTTTAATATCATAGATAATGAAAGCGAAAAATATATAAAAATCGACAAACATGTTATAATGAATTGAGAGCTTTACGTGTCAAAAAACACATTTCATACTGATTTCTATAAAAGGTATCTTTATTATAGAAGTGTATGCTATATCTGTTTGTTTTTTTATTATAACAAATTCAAAATTCTCTTATAAGGACTAGATGAAATCTGTATTATTAAATCATTAGCTAAATGAAGGTTCAAATAGAAAGTAAATATCAATTTATATGATACTGAAACCAAATAGTTCTTTTAATAAAAGATAACACGCTGAAAATTATTGAGTATTTGCAAATCTCAAAAATCTATTGGTGAATTTGGCTCAACTTTTAAAATTATAACATCCATATCAAATCATAAAAGCAGACAAAAATTAAAGCCAAACCTATCGGCCAATTTTTTTTGATGTTTTGATTTTTGAGGTATACTTTTAAAAGTGGATTTAAAGCACTGATGAAAAAACATTAACTTCTGTCGTTATGATTATTGATTTAGACAATAATGATTTTAATCTTTGATTATCAAAACACTAAAGTTATCTTTTTAACATTTGCTTGGTAGCATTAACTCAAGTCTAAAGTACTATTTTATGTGGCACTCTTAGAATTTTTGTATTCATTGTACACGCTGAAATAGTACCATTAAAGTTATGGCGGACTTTCAAAAAATAGTTTGGTCACCTTTAAAATTGATGAGAAATTTATTCATAAAATCAAAAATGCCTTTATATTAATAGGTATTATTGTGCCGGTTCTATTATTTGAAAAATAATCATCATGCTTGCTTAATTTTTCAAGTCGAAAATGAGATTTTTTCATAATTTTGATCTCGTGATCGTAATAATCTCTCAAAATTTCAAAGAATGCATATAATTTTTTGAGTTGATGGCATAGATAAAGATTTTATTCCCGATTTTTACAGTTTTTGCTGTTTTACCTCCCATAAACTAATTATTTATTTGAGCAATAACCCCAAGCATATGTTTACCTATTAGAATTTAGCAATCATCGTTGATAAACAAAATAAAGAATAATATTGCTAAAATAAAATGATTATCATGAAATTCTTGCCATATTGCATAATTCCTAATGGAAGTCTATATTTTATTGCATATAAATTCAAATAGAATTCAATTGATTATATTTTCTTTCATAAATAAATTAATTGTAAAATAGGCTGCAACACTATCAATAATAGAATTTGTATATATAAATAAATTTGTAAGAAAAATTGATTTCAATAGCGTTTCAATTCAGAAAAGTAAATTCCCATAATTTTTCCTTTTATTGTAATTAATGGTAATAATGCAGTAATTTTCATTTTAAACATTTTTCTATACAAATATAAATATAAATTCTTTCTTAAAATGCTACTCCTTCTCCTTCAGTACTCTTGGTGGTTGCAAAATCAAGGAGTTAACGGTGGACTAAAAGGAGAAGACATAAATTGGACTGATAGTTACAGCACAATTCAAGGAAAAAACACAACAATTGTGGTTATGTCCGATGGAGCCAGATTAACACATTCATCATATAGTAATCGAACAGATCAAAGCGAATTTTATGATATATTTGAAGGATTGCCATATCAAGAAAATTCAGATTGCACAAACAATAATATTGGAACGGCATCATTACAATTAGCCGCAGGAAATGTTGTTAATGATACAAATCCTATTACGCAAGGTATTGCTAAAAAAGCTACGGTATTTTCATATTTATTCCAAACAAATGGCTCTCTTGAAGAATCTTTTCTAAACGTAGGTTGTAAAGGAAGTAACAAATGGGATGTTGCTATAGTTCAGTATCTAATGACTAACTGTGTCGATAGATTTTGTCGTTACATTCAACCGGATGTATTTTCAAGGCATGTTTTAGATGAATGCCTATATAACCCTCCTGCTGATAATTGGGCTCATCCAATTGTTGTCCCAGCGGGAACAAATCATGCATCTGATCCCCTCTTTTCGCCACCAGCAAGCTGGCCGATGATTTTCACTATCGCAGGAGTCAGTCACAGGGGTCAACCTTTATGGCGCGGCGCTGAAGGTGTAGGAGTATTCATGTGCTGTCCAGTAGCAGACGATGCAGCAATACCTGCGGCTGGTTCATGTAGTGATACTGAATACATTTCAAATTTTTCTTCAACAAATGCAAGTGCTGCAATATTTGCAGGTGGTTTATCAGTGCTGTTATCTGAGGTTCCGACATTAAAACTTGCAGATCTCTTCTTCATTACTGCAATGACTGCAGATAAGAACCGACCAGATGGTTTGATATGGAGAAAGAATGGATTTGGTTTAAACTATAATAGAAGATCAGGATTCGGACGCTTGAATTTAGGAAGAGCCTTAGATTTGGCGAAAAGATGGGAATCTGTAGGAGATTTCTATCTATGGAAGAAAACTGTACATTACAATACTCTTTTGGATGAAGGTATATATAACATTACATTTGATATGGATGATTTGGAAGGTGCAGCAACTCTATCTGTTTTCATTGAAATAACTGCTCTTAAATTATCTTTTGGATCGCTCAACCCTCATTTAGTTAGTCCAAGTGGAACAAGATGCGAAATCAAAATACTTACTGAAGGCGATAAAAAATTAAATATTGAAATTATGGAATTCAATACAAATAATTTTGTTGCCGAAAATCCAAAAGGACCATGGACATTGTATTTTATGGAGTCTGATCATGCGGCTCGAGGTTTAATCAAAGATGTCACTTTGAATATATTTTATACAAAAAAGGCTCCGAAGGCATCAGATATTTGGCAGAGAGATGATTGTATTAATCCATGGAAGCATCAAGAATCAAAGATAAGATTCTTAGCGCAAGAACCGGTTCCATTCGAAGCAGGTAAAAAGTTTTCAATAGACGTCCAAGTTCCTGACGAACAGAAAAATATCTACTATATGATATACCTTGAATCAGAAGACGGGGAAAAAAGAGTTATCTTCGATACATCACGATTCAATGAAAATTACACCAAAATCGAAGCCGATTTCATACCAACAGTGTATGCAAATGGACTGAAGATGTTCTTGCTTGTTGAATCATTGCATTTTGAAACTGGATTATTTACGGATAAAATTGAACTGAATTATTCTAATCCATATTCGCCTGGAATTATTACGCCAAAGAATGGAACATGGATCACTACTAAAGATATAAGAATTGAATTAATATATGCGCTCAATCTAACCTATATGATTGATGAAGGATATTCAACTTCTGCAGCATTGACAATTATAAACGCAAGAAGTCATATTATATTAGATCGCAAATGGTTACGAAATCTTGGAAGAATAGTTTACTGGAATGATTACGCAAAAGACAAAAGTTTTATTATGCAAATTTCTCCATCATCAAGTTTCGTCCACAATATAACGTTTAAGCCAATGGAGATATACATGTTCATAAAGGAGACACCAGGAAAATATCAAGTAGAGGGAACTATTATTCCGCTCATAACAATTGTTGTTATATGTATAGGATTAGTCATTCTTGTTGTTGGCCTGATATATAGATCAATTGAACTTTCTAGGCATAAAGCAATTGAGATTGATTCTGAATTAATCGATAATTAGTATTGTTTAGCAAAAATTCTTTAATATCATGATTATGTAACTAAAAGGCAGGAACTATGTTCGATATAATACGAATATCATTAATTCTTTTCAAATCAAATTTATCAAAATTATCGATTGTATAATATTTGTATGCATGATGAATGATTTTTCAAAGAATCATAGAAGTTGGGAAAAGTATAATTCAAAACCAACGATGAGAGTCTCAAAAAAATTAAAAAGCGCCTTTGAGAGTAATTGTTGATAGTTAATTTTATTGGCATTTTCATGATGAAAAAGAAGTTATGAAATGCCACGTAAGAGTTGAGATGTAAAAATATTGATTCACAAAAATTGCGAACAAAATTTTCACTTTAAAATTTATTCTAATTTTATACTATATAGCATAAAGGTAATATAAATAATACATGAAAAATTTTTAGAGTGTATTCAATTCTAACTTTAGACTTTACGTCTATGAAAATGCTTCGAATTTTCAAAGATAGCGGCAGCATTCAATGAAATTCGTATTATTAAATTTCGATTTATATATGAATCTAAGATAAATTAGATAGAGATTATTTTCAATATAATCAAATTTTTGATTAGTTAGAAGTTTTTTAGAGTTAATCTGAACGAATTAAAATCATCATGAATAAAGCATTTGATTAGAAGATATTCGGCCAAACTAATGTTATAGACCGAAAATAGATTTTTTCAGTTTTCTCTTCAAATAATTGAAAGAATGATACTATTATAGGTTTATTATATTATATAGCATATAATCATGCTATAGCCGAAAATTATAAGTTTTGAGAAGATTGAATATAACACAAATAAATTTGAATGTAAGTTAAATTGCTTGTTGTTTTTAATAGCTATTTAATGAGAAATCCAATATTGCAAAATTCAAATTGAATGATTGAAAGAACAGAAAAAGTCATTCTTTTCAATTTCGAATATGTTTCATTGTATTTATAATTATATGGCAAATAAGATATTTAAACTTGATTTTTGAAGGAAAATTCACAAAATTGAAAAAATTCAAATAATTTTTATTCAAAAATAAACTAGTTATTTGAGTTTACTACTAATTATCTATTCAAACTACAAAGTTTGTAATTTAAAATATTTTGTGAGATCAGATTGAATTAATTCAAGGTTCTTTTCAATTAATATTAATGACCATATTACGCATTTTCGAACATTCTAAACCAAATATATAAAAATGGGAGACGAATGTTAAATTTGCTAGACATGGGGGAGTTGTCTGCAAGGTTTTAGCTCTTATCTCTAACAAAAAATTAATTTTTAAAAAAAAGACCGAATACGTTTCACAGCGAGAAAAAAATAAAACTGTACACTGATTTTCATTTTAATTTCCAGTCACTTTACTTATTATGTTGTAAACAGAAATTCATCAAAAGTGACACCTCAGAAAAGCTAAAATATTGAATTTTTGGAACTTTTGATAGAGCACGTTTTTAAATATTAATTAAAGTAAATGTATATTTTGTAAAGATTCTTTTTAATAAAAAAGCAAAATTTTGAAGAAGAACACAAAATCTTCTGAAAAATAATATCACATAAACTCATATTATTTCTAAATATAACTATTTTATATAAAAATCAAATTCAATGATCTGAAAAGCGAAGGATAAACCTCAAAATTTACGAATATAATGAGTGGGAATATAATGCTTATCTATCATAAAACCATATGAAATATCAATTTTTGCTTTACGCCTATTCCCACTCATTATATTCGTAAATTTTGAGGTTTATCCTTCGCTTTTCAGATCATTGAATTTGATTTTTATATCAAATAGTTATATATTAGAAAATAATATGAGTTTATGTGATATTATTTTTCAGAAGATTTCATTCTATATGCCTATGAAAAGTACTCTCAAAACTAACTTTTTCCTAATTATAATTAAATCTAGAATATTGTATTATGCTTAGTATTATTTCATTTTTCTCATTCAATTTAGAATTTACAAATGTCAAAAAATTGAGAGCTGTCACTTTTGATGAATTTCTGTTTATTACAATTATTTTTTCTTTTTTTCATTTTAATTATAAATTATTTCATAATACGTTTATTTACGTTACCATTTTCTTTATTCTTTTGAATTCCATACTAGACACTTATAGAATATTTTGATTGTTAACGTACTTCATTAGAATGAATCCTTACAAAGGGTATGTCGATCGAATTTACCTAATTGGTATTTCCAATCAGATTGAAGAAGGTAAAATGACATGGGAAGAAGCTTGCACTCATGTTCCCATCGCCCCAACCCTTCAATCAAATGATTTCAAATATTTAGATGTTTCAAAATCTTTTTTACAAAATCAATTTAGCTTACAGAATATCCCATTGCCTAAAGACAAGAAAGGTCGTAGGGTCAATCCCTACGACCAAATCAAAGCTCTTGCTGTGATACATGACCACTGGGCCTTTCCCTGTGGTCAAACAAAACAATGGAAACGTTTGAAATTACAACAAATTGATGTATCTTATAGAGAAGTACGCAGATACTTCAAAGAAAATCATTTCACCAAGACGCAATTAGAGCATACCGGGCCAGAAACAGCAGTAAGATATTGGGCGCTTTCCCCAATCTTATCTGGCACGCAGATGTTCATTATTTTAGGGGTGTTCGTGGCCAGTATATTTATGGCATAATCGACGATTTTAGCCGCAAAGTCCTAGCGCGTATACAAATACCAGATATGCTGGCAGCGACGACAGCGAACGTTGCGGCTTCCGCCTTCATTGAATTTGGCGCCCCTTATTGTTTCTGGACCGACAACGGTTCAGAAAATAGGGGCGCCTTTCAAGATCTACTTGATCTTTGGGGCGTCCAATGGCGGCATACAGACTCTCATTCTCCCTACCAAAATGGGAAGATTGAGAGATTCTGGCCGACATTGGAGCGCTGCCAAAGCATTCAGGCTATTCCTGCCTTTATTTGGGAGTACAATAATAACACACCGCATGAAGATCTCCCAATTAATCCATTAACTGGAACAAATTACACGCCAAATCAAATGTATCAGTTAGTATGGTTATCTTCAGTACGGTGGCACTGCGTTCCACCTTACTCATCTTATGTCAATCTGACACTTTACGAAACCACTAACGTATATTTTACAACACAAACGACAACACTAACTTAACCTTAAATATTTACAAAGCCACCAACCACTTCACCTCACTAATGTAAAAAATAAACGTTCTCACTATCGTTCTCACTAACGACTTCACTAATGTTCTCATAAATTTTCCTCAATATCTTCATCATCAGTGTTAACCCTATTGTAGTCATACTTGAAGCCATAAACTTTCTCTAACTTCTTAACGTACAATTTACATAACTTACCTTCGTCATCGTATGGTTTAATGATATAACTATTTCTATCTTTATACACAGTCAATGAAAAGTCAACTGGTCTCGGATGTATTTGAAAGAACATGTTATGCTCAGGAAGGACGAATAAATGTTTAAATGTATGTTTGTTATACTGTGGAATTCGAATGAGTTGCTTTTGTTCTGTCATTACATCCAAATAAAAATTTTCAGTAAAAATAAAACTAATGAAATATTTTATTCCTCACTGTCGTCTGCTTTATCCAACTCTTCTAACTTCTTCCTAAGTTCAGCAATGTTGTCCTCATGAAGTTTAATCTTTCTCAAAATTCCTTCTTTATCTAATGGTTGCTTTATCTTTCTAAACTGAACTCTACCATCCTTCATAGTATGAACGTAAAAACCTTCTGGAACCGCTCCTGATTTAATGTATTCTACCAAGAACTTTTGTTTCATTGCTTCAGTGACTTTAGTCGTCATTTTACTCTAAATAAAATGTTCAAATAAAATAAAAATAACGTTATTTTTTCAGTAAGGAAACGCAGGAGTTTTACGATTTATTTGAGGAGTAGGTTCTGGTTTAAATGTCGGAGTCGGTTTAGGAGTTGACTTTTGAACAGGAGTTTGTACTTCCATAGGTTCAGGAGTCATTGAAGGTTTTGCTTGTGAAGGCGTTGGTTTTGGCGAAGGTGTTGGAGTTTGTTTAACTTCAGCTACTTCAGTATTATTTACAACATTTGCTTTATTTCTTTTCAACATCATAACTGCTCCTGCTGTAGCTAGCAAACCTAGTGGGAGACCATATCTTATATAAGGACTTGACCAAATGCTATTTTTGACAGGAGCTGGTGGAACACCTAACCTTGGTGAGACTGCTCTTTGCCATTGTGCAGCTCGTAAGAAATATTCAATAGGTGCTCCATAATCGTTTGGTAAAGTTTGTTTCATAGATGGTGAAGGTTCACGAGAGCTTGATGAAGAACTCATTTATAAGCTTTAAAAATAAACGTTCATCCTTTATTCCTCACTGTCGTCCGTAGCTAAGTTATAGTCATCTAATCTTATTATGGGGATGCCATTAGCACGCACCTGAATGGCAAAGCAACAATCCCTCATAAATCCAATAAGTGGCTTTGGTACATTTTCAGTTGCTAGTTCAATAGGTCCTTTAACAGACAATTTGTATTTATTGGAGCAGTAGACGTTTGACCTTGCTGGAAGCAAAAGTCCACTTCTGTTGGAAAACCACATAAGAAATGTGTGTTGTCATAGCTATCCCATTTATGTTCCACACTACCATCATCCACCAATGACCTCATAACATCTTCATTAAATCCTATCATATCATTGTTTGTATTGCAGGCGTTCGCAACCATTTCATAAAATACAGGTCCATATGATTTTTCAGGTTCTGCAGGCATATTTCCATAAGCTCCCATGGAAAGCTGAAGATATTTAAACTTAGGGTTCTCAAAATTAACATAATAGTTGTCTTTCTTTCTAAATAGTGCCCAAATACTTTTAACATTAATAGGCGTATAAGCTGCTGTAAATGTTGCACTTGAACTATCTGTATTCTTTGAGAATGAACCGTCCATAGGAATCCAATCCATAACTTTAACAGGAAAACATAAAGCCTCGTTTGTATAATGTTCTACAAGTTCTGTATAAATGTTAGGGTCTAAAGAGAATGACTTTGGATGAATGAAACATTCATTAAAATCCATCTTTGTTCGAAATAGTTGCTGGGTTACAGTTGTAATAGTAACTGTTCCACTAGCTTCTACTGCCTTCGTTATCATAGTGAATGGTTCATTCCATGGAACAAATTTATTTGTCGGTGGATTTGAATCTGAAGCAAATGCAACTTTAAGAGTTGGATTGAAAGCAATGATATCATTTACAGATATAGATGTGCATTGTAAGGCGTCGCTACTGAACTTTACTTTAAGCTGAATGTTTCCTGCAAAAGCTGGAATAAATCGAATAGCTTCTAATGGAAGGAATCTTCTAACAGGAATTCTTAAACGAAGCTTAAAATCAAATGATTTTCCTGCTGTAATTGGACCACTAACAATTTGTCCTGTTCTGCATGTTCCCGAATGACTCCATACATCTTCATGTCGAGTCTTTGAGAAAACATCTACTTTCTTTATTTGTTCGGTAGTTTGTGAGTTTGAAGTTATATATGCTTCTTCTCTTGCGTTGTCTTGAGAATATACGATACGACCATTTGCAAGGATTTGATATCCAGCAACTGCATAGAAAGCGTCATCGAAACCAATCCAAAATCCTGGTGGGTTTGTTTTATTGGAACCTGAACCAATTTCTTTATCTACAATAAATTGACCTTTCATTTTATACGTAATGAATGTATTGCAAAGGTCCAACATATTTTCACCAGGAGGTGAGAGATTGAATGTTACCCATGTGTTATCTTTAGCAGTTCCAGGTTGTGATGGAATCTTTGCGTCAGAATATTTTCTATTAGTGTCACCAATTTGAACTGCATTGTCTATGATATCGAAATATGAGCGAATCTGATGAATATGCTCTGCTGGAGTAAATTCGTTTAGCTGTTCGTTCTGCATGTATTTACTTCAGATAAAAATATCTATTTACTTCATTATTCTCACTCTTCTTCTTGGTATTCGTGGTGGAAGTTGTTTTTTGACATTTTCAATGAACTGTACATTCTCTTTTGTCTCAACTTCTTTCACTGGTGGGTCAGGGTTCTTTGACTCGGTATGCTTTTCAATGAAATTCACGAACTTTGCAATAAGCTCTTGGTTCGTTATTGAAAGTACATCTGGCTTCTTTTCTTCTTGTTCTTTTGGTGGCTCAGTTTGAACAGAAGGTTTTATATGGGCTTCGTGGACTTCACCCTTGCCATACACCTTAATGTTGTTGCTTTCTGCATTCGCTAATGGAACCTTTCTTTTTCTTACGTATATTTTACCATCTTTACTCTGACTTACGTAATAGAAAGGATGTTGTATTCCTCTTGCGTCATTTAATATAATAGACTCTCGCTCTGATTTTGACAAGCTCATTTTACATCGGTTAAAGTTTTAATTTAGTTTTTTATCTGCAGTCAAATGACTCAGACAAGCCCTACGGACAAGACCCAAGGGGTCATAGATTTTGAAGCATTGAAGAAAGAAATTCGTGAGCAAATTTTATCCGAACTGAAGGAACAAAAACAAGAACAAAAGCCAGAGAGACCAAAGAGAAAACTTAGTGAAAAACAACTTGCTGCATTAGCTGCTGGAAGACAGAAGAACCCACGTTTGCTGGCGAAGAAAGCTAGAGAAGAAGCTGAAGCAAAAGCTAAAGAAGCTGAAGCAAAGAAAGAGTAAATGGGTTATTTTTATCCGAATTAAATGTATAGACAAATACCTTTATCTGTTGCGTTCAGTAGTGAAAACCCTGACGTCAAAATAAAGGGGAACAGAGTAACGTTTAAGTTTCCAACAGACTGGATTGTGAACATAAATGAAGAGAAGTACATTGGCATAACATCTATGTATATAACACGTGCTTTCAGAAAGGTTGACTTTATACTTCAAGTCGAGATAGAAAATGACGAACAGTCTTTAAGCGCCCAAAACATTCACATATACAAATACTTTAAAGACGATACAACATTGCAACAATGTATGATTTCATTTAATGAAATGTTCGAGAAAAAGTTTAACATTGAAGTACAAACTTTACAGCCTTTACGTGAGTTTCTTGCACAACTGAAAGAAGAAGGTAGTCAGCCACAACTTATAGACTTTCATTATGAATTTAATGAAAATGAAGATGGAACACATGACTGTCAATTCATTGTATTCTCACCATTCAATGAAGTCGCTAAAGAGAAAAAAAATCCATTACGTATAAGATTTCAAATCTCTGAACCCAATGAAGACTTCAAGAATGCTTTCAATTATGATGCAATGCTTCCGAGGAAAAATGAATTTTCAAAGATTGTAACACCTGGCATTTGGGATAGAAAGCAAGCTATTCTTTTCTCTAATATAGCCAAAGGCGTTGAAAATGAGTTCATAGGTCATACAAGAACTACACCACTGCCAAATCCTAAGTATTACAAACTCATAGGTCACAATCGTGAGTTTTGGATAGACATGTTCTCCACTCATGACCATAAAGCACCTGTTTTGCTACCTCCAGATGGGAAAGATTGTCTCTACATTGAAGCACAACTCTTAAACTCTACCATCGCAGTATTGTAAAATCTACGCTAGTTTTATTTTTATCACGAATGACCTCATTCATGACCTCATTGCTGACAAAAATAAATGACCTC